TCCTTCCAAATACCTTAAACTTTCAATCAGTTGCATAAGCACAAAAATAATTTACTTTTTTTATTTTACTTTCAATATTTGTAAAATATTACATTACATGTAGCCATACAGTCGCATAATAAGCCTCAGTTGTCAGCTTATTAAAACGTATAGTCCCAATGTTAGGTTTACTGTTTTCTATGCCAATTTCAGGCAAATTAGCAGCCCAACTAAAGCCTGCGGTTCTGAAGTTCTAGTGAACCCTAATTTTAAGGTTCTACTTTTCATGGGATATATTGCAGATAAGTAGACCGATCATTAGGAATCTCAACAAAAATCTCAGTGACTAAATCTTGATTAAACATTACTATTAAATGCTACCTTAGGAGGTTTTTGTCTTTTGAGATCTGGAGATGATGGGACCTGTGAATGATTAATGTCCTAATTAATTACAACAAAATACATGAGGATAGGCTTACAAAGAGAAGCACATTCATCCTGATTTCTTGAAAGCAGAACTAATTCAGTTTTGATGTGCAGCAATAACAGGTGCTTAACTGGGACAATAGCAGCAAATTTCTGCTAAACAGGAATTCCTCTCTGTACTACAGGGTTAGAAGTTGCTGACTGCTTTCAAAATTCTTCATTTCAAATAAAAAATGATGGGCTAGGAAAGTCAAACTGCATAATCTTTACAATGTATTTCTTCAGGATGTTTATGAACTAAAATAATTACTAGAACAGCTTTTTAATCAGGAATAACAAGGATTCAATAAACAAGGGGATACTGCTGTAGCTGATGCATGAAATAAGATTATCAATTTTCCTGGTAAACAGTAATTTTCTTTTCTTCAAATCTAAAAAAGATTACCTTCAGCCACTAATTTATCTGATTTTTCTTCTTGCATCACCATTTAAGAACTGCTGAACAAGGTGAGACCAGGAGCCTACTATATCCATTATTCTGTCTCCAACCTTGGACAGTAGGGAATCAGCGGAAATACTTCCCTTAGGATACATTTTCAAACTTTCCACACTCAATACTAAAATCCTCATGAGCCGGAAGGTGCAGCTGAATGATTGTATTTTAGAAACATCAATATATTCCTCCTCCTTGAATTATCTAAATTGATTGAAAAAAACAACTAGATTAATGGGCTTCAAAAGAGCCTGCAGTCATGAATTCAACAATTTAATTACATGCTGTATTAAAAAAATAATTCCTTTTGGTTGCTTTAAATCTGTTGCCTAGTAAAAAGGGACAGAAATTTGTTGTAGGATGTTCACTTATCATCGCCATTCAGTTCTGATGCTATAGGATCAGTCTTTTACTTTTGTATACTAAAGAATTTTAGCCTGTTCAAGTAAGGCATATACCTTATACCTACATAGACATATATCTATGTTCTCCCTGTGTTCCCTCTCTTCCCTTCTCTTTTTTCTTAGAGATATTTCCTGTAGATTGTGTGCATTTGTGAGTGCATTAAAAACAAACTACCAAAACTCCAGTCTCTGGGATTTCCATTTTAGATAGCTCAATCCAAACATGAATGACAGACAAACTTCAGCGTGAATTCCTAATCACGTCAACAAGCACAGATAAAGTCCAGTTGATTTCTGCATGTATAATAATCATGATATGAGAAGGATGCATCAAGTTTACTACACATACTTCTGTTGCTGAATGAGACTAGGGTCCCTTTTACCTGTTCAAGTGCTTATATCTGACATAAGGAGGCCTGCAGGGTCTTTTTAATTCTGGATAA